AAATGTAGCATTAAATTGCAAACACAAGGAAATGAGCAAAAATGAAATCCTAAATTAGTTGCTGATGGAAAAAGATGGTAATTGCCATAATTGATACAAGTGAATTATATATAGATGAATGAAAAGCCTTTGGTATAAAAGCTGGGGAATGGATGGACATCTTAGAAGTTTTCACTCTTTTGTATTTTGTGTTTATTTGCTCAGAAAATTATGTGATGTCATGCATAAGATGATGTAATATATGAGGTCACACTCCTGCCAGGAAGCATCAGGTAGCAGGTGAAGAAGTGCTGTCAGGTAGTATGAAACCCAGTAATTTCTTGACTATATGAGCTGTTTTTTTAAAATTGTCAACTGAATTTTCATGAGAAGTAAGACTCTCCTACTTTTTAAAAACAGGAAGTGAATATAAACAATATGAAGTCTTCATTTCTCTAATGACTAGTATTTGGCAGCAGATTTTTGGTGACCAAAAAATCTCCACTAATTTGATTCTGATAATAATAGAACCTGAAAGTATTTCTAATGCTGACTTCAACAAAAGTTTAGAATCATAGGATCTGTTCCTGCCCAATTCAGGCAAAACTCTTATTAACTTCACTGGACCCTAGGCACTCTTATTTTTATTACCATTTAAAGGTAATTTCCCATTAACTTGGTCTGATACTTTGAATATTAATTTTAATTTTCTGACATTAAAGGTTATTAAAAAGTTGGATTCACTTTTATAAGAAGGAAAAACCTGAAGGTTTAGTAGGTTTGTGCAATCTGAAGATGCATAATAATGGACAGGAACATATTTTTGGCTCGAGTCCAGCATGGTACTTAATCACATATCTAAGTTTAAACACATACATAGTCCCATTGACATCAATAGGACGACTCCTGCTTAGAGTTAAGCACCCACTTAAGTGCTTTTCTGGCTGAGGGCCACAGTGCTCAGCACTTTGTAGGATCAAACCCTTAGTTATGAAAATGTTATACAATATGATGTAAATGGTTACATTAAATAATATGCAGATCAATAGCTTCACATCTATATTTATTTACTCGATATGACAATAATGCTATATGCTGGTATTTGGGGAACACATATTTAACAGCTATTATATATTCTTCAGGATATCTATCCAACTCTGAGACCATAGCTAAGAAATTAGGGTTTTTTTAATAGAAGAAAAACTCTGAACCACTTTATAGCATTTTAATCAATAGGACTGAAATATACAAATGATCTAAAGTATGCTTGGTTGAGCTTCACAATCCTGCCCACCCTTCCTGTCACCCTTCATTACAATTTTGAAATCGAACTGAACAATACTGAACAAGTATTATTTACAATTTGTCAGTGTATTTCTATTAGACAGAATCTTATTAAAATTAAGCAGATAGGAGGACCGGGATAGAAGGCTAGTTTTGTGTAAGATTTTTGTCTGAACATGTTAAAATAGCCTTTAAATGTACAAGACATAACATAGGGAAACTAGATTAGGCTTTTCAGATTCATTTCTGAGTTCTAATGACATTACACACCACCTGAGCTTCAACCTCCCATTACCAGGATGCCAGAAGAACTGTGGGATATGGATAGCCCATTATTTCTCTGGTGTCTCCTCCACCCTGGTCATTCAGATGTATATAATACATTGTGGGTATACGAATAAACACATCAAATATATTCAGATTTTATTTGGAACAAAATGTCAAAAGTTATGTATCATTTAGAGTAAAGGGGGGCATGGATCAGCGTTCACGTTGCACTGCCCATCAGTACCCGGCTCAAGCCAGGGAAGATAGTGATCCAACGAGCGGACCAAATCTGGTGATGAATCCTGGTCACGTGCCACCTGAGGCACATACTGTACAGACGCTCAGAAGATTTAGGATAAAAATAAAAGAAATGGCAATCCTATGTGCAGTCAGGTTATATGAAATCTAGTGAATAACGCACACACATATAGAACAAAAACAACAACTAAAACCTAATTGGCCAATAATAAAAGCATATTGAGGCCTTGATTTTTCATTCTGACAAAATTCCTGTTGAAGTCTAAAGGAAATTTTGCTTGAGCAAGGAGTTCAGAGTTAGGCCCTGTGTTACGTTAGCGTTGCAGAATATTAAGCAAATGCCTATCTGTAAGAACATGTTTAGTTCCATTGAAGTCAATAGGACTATTCACGTGCTTAAAATTAGGCATATGATTAAGTACTTTGCTGGACTGGGGCCATAAGCATTATGGGGAGCCGGATCCTGCACAACTGAAGTTGATGAGAGTTTTGCTATTGACTCTGGTGCTGACATGATCTAGCCCTTATTTAGAGCTTCGTAATAATACAGTTTACAGTAGGAAATGAATTAAACCATTGTGATTCCCCTCAATGGACAAGTGAGTAAAAGCTTCATGTGCTGGTCCAGAAGCAATATGGCTTATTTAACAGCAACTGGAGATTTGCAAGATTGTAAATAACCCTTTTTTCAAGTAAAACTAAAGTTTATTTTCTGAAGAAAACACATTCCTTTTTCATTACTTTTCTATAGAAGCAAGCCCTTGGAATAGACAAAAAGGTCCTCTTATATTTTAGGACTTGAAGTACCTTCTAAAGTCAAATCTCTGTAAAAGTAAAGACTAGAGAAGTAGACAATAGAGCCATTACTCCTTTGGGAAGTTTATAGAAAGAAGCTATTTAATCCTTAATCAAATAGTTAAAAAAAACAACTCTTCAAAAATTGCAATGCAATTAATATTTTAAAGAAGTTTTAAAAAATACGTAGCTGTATATCTTTGGGAGAGCAAAAAGGCTTGCTAACCAGGACCTAATTAATAGGCAGGCTGGGAAGATTTAGTCAGTCAGTCTCTGGGTAAATCTAATGATTTCAACCACCTCCCTGCTGCAGAAACCTTTATATTTGAAGAAAGCCATGATCATTAATCAAAGACTGAAGAGCCCTTTCTTCTATGGCGACAGAATTCCTAACAGGGGCCTTCTGCAGTGATCAGTCTCCAACTGACTACAAATTATCAATACTGATTACCAGCTTGCTGCAATGGGGAGGGGATGACTTGCTCAGCACTGCAGGGCTGGCCAGACTCCCACAGCTCCTGTCTCAGTCTGTTTGCATCTACCCATGCCTTTTCCCTACAGGTGACAATGCCAGGTTAGAATGGTTTCCACCCCCAGGGATTATTTCTCAGACCAAAGAAAGAGAATCCTAGTGTTGTTTTTAAATGTAGAACTAATGTCTGGAGGAGTCATGTTAACTTTGGACAAATGATCAAGAATGAAACAGGATTATTATTGCCACAGTGATTCAGTAGTGAGTACGTGGGCTTGGTTTTTGTTTTTTCCCCTGAAGGCTAGATAAAGGTGTTTAAACCTTGCTTTCCTTATTCTGGGTGGCTGTTGTGAGTGGAGGGTGGGGGTGGGGGGTGTTTGATAGGGAACTATTTTGAAACTTTTTGATTTCTAAGGTATCAACCACATTTTTCCCCTTTCCAAAGGAAGCAGAAAGGAATTTGATGATCTGGAGATCTTTTAAAAGACTGGTCTGGTGGCTAATCCATTTCGCTGCTTTCCACACCCTCCACTGCAACCTCTATTTGCACCACAAAGCAGTTAACCGCAGTGAAACAAAAGGAGTCGGGGGAGGATGTCCTGCTTGTGCCTCTTAATTTTAGCCCTAAATAGGGGCGATTCCCCAGAAGGTTAAATAAAACCGCAATCATGGCTCCGAGCCTCTGCAATCAGTGGACATCTCGCCTTCTTGCTTCTCAGATACCAAAGGGTATGAGAGATTAGGCAAAGCCACGCACGTTAACTACACCCACAATGAGTGAGTGGGGATGGATGGGGCGGGGCTGCGGAGTCCACACATACCGTTTGCGTTCGCTCTAGTGGGACAAAGTAAAAAAGATAAGCCTGTCACTCCCGACAAAACAGGGCGGGGGATGGGGAGAGAAGCTGCTGCGTTATCTAGAAAAAAATATCCTGGTAGGAGGATACCTTTATTATCCAATGACCTACTTTTCTGTGTGCAGTCAGACTGCAGGGGTACAAGATTCCAGGCTTTAGAGCAGGAACGAGGTGGATCTTTCAAAAGCCGTTTGGGTTTGTTCTCCTGGTGATGTGCACACAGCCTTTGCGTCGCTAGCCCCCCTCCCTCCCCACTTCTTAATGTCTAAGGGGACTGGGGAGGGTACTGTACGCTGGGCGAGGGCTCCCTGGGCGTGCCTGGGAGGAGACAGCTGCAGCAGCCGTATGGGTGGGGTCTGTCTGCCTGCATTGTGCTGGGCTGCTGGAGTCTGTGGCGCTAAGCTCTGCAGGTGCCCTCCGGGAGCAGCGGTGCACAGCGTTACACAAAGAAACCCAATGTCACCCCCAACCCCACCCCACACCAGCCCCTCCCTCCTTAAAACAAAGGGCGGACCTGTTCTTTGCAAGGCGATCGGGTTATGTATCGAATTAGCAAAAGAGAAAAGTCTCTCTCTACATCCTGTCGCTGGGGAGATGAAGGTGTCTCTCCTTTTCAGTCACGAAACTGATCAGTTTCACTGTACAAGTGTTTTGCTTTTAACACATCATCTCTAAGAAATAGCTGAAATGAAGAGCGAGCAATATCTTGAGACCTGGCGATAAGGGGCTTTATAAAAACACACACATACCACATTTCAGAATAGGTAAGGGCACTTTTTTTTGGTGCCACTCACAAAAAACTCTCTTTAAAACCAAATACATCTCCTTGAAATGAGTGTTCAACTTATTTGCCTTAATCACCCAAGAGCAATCTGCCATCAGATCTCAGGCTAAGACTTCCAAAGAGCCCCGGGCTCCCAACCCTCCTCCCTGCTTTTTGATTTTAAAAAGATTAAACAAAAAGATTTAACACTGTCTTGGCTTTTTCTAAACATTAAGGCCTCCTAAGGGAGCACCCAGGACAGCCGGTGGTCCTAGGATATAGTGGTTGTTGCATTGGCTGAAGAAAAAGAGATGCGATTTCTTACCCATTGCTGTTTTAGCCATGGTGGGATGGATGTGCAGAGTCTCAGAGGCGGTGAAGGCAAAGGGGTCCAGCTACAGCAGTGGAGAGGGAGAGAGAAGACTGAATAAGGCACTGAGTCAGCAGCGTGGGGCTGTGCAAGAGAAGGAGCAAGAGGCAGGAGCCCATGAATAATTATCACTCGTCTACCCAAGCAGATTGGCTCTAGAGGTCCCCTGACATGACTCCTGCGGAGCTAGAATCTCCAAGCATTAAATATTGATCCCTCAATGGTGCGAGAGTACAAAGTGCTAGAATGGAGTTTGAAATGGAAATCAGTCCTTGAGTGTCTCTCCCCCCCTCTTTTTAGTTTTAATAGTACAGTCCATGTCAAATGTTTTATGTCTTACATGAAAAGCCTATTGGGGTTGAAAGCTCTCCTGTTGCTAGCTGGAAAATATGCACAAATGCATTTTTAACACAATTTAACACCGATATGACAAAGGGGGAAATAATTCAAAGGTTTTCTGAGCCGTTTCAGCAATAACAGTAGTTTACATGGTTTTACCTCTGTACAGTGCATTACTGTATATTGGCTGTTGCAACACACACAAATGCTTGTACTGCAAGTTCTTGCTTTTCAATATTTATTTTATGTTTCCCAGACTCATCCATCAATTATACATTCAGTGGTAAAACCTACAGGATGGCAGGGATACTAATTAATGTTTGCAAAGTGCTCTAGAAAATGCAAAGCAGTCTCCATGTGAAAATTAGTATTATTATTTCATTATCGCACTAGCCACCTCTTTGATGTACCATCAAAACAACAATGGAAATCTGCTTGGTAAAAGAGTGTGGAATATGAGTGAATACTCAAAAACATCACCTGAAAGAGGATTGCCTGGGACTTGAGAAATTATAAGGTATTTATCAGTTTTGGAGCATGATGAAGAAAAACCTGTTTTGTGGGCAAGGGACAGGGAGAAAAGGAAATAATCGAGGGGGAAAACGTTTTCCTTCATTGTATCCAGGGGAAAGCAAGTGACGTGTTTGGAAACAATTTAAGAGAAATCTGGGTAGTGATCTGAAGCTATGGATGGGAATATGGTGTAACCCGAATATATGTTCTAGTTGGGGGAAAGTCACTGTCCAGGTGTAGGCAGTGTACAAAGCATGGTATGGGATTAAGTGGCGGATAGGTGGTCCCATCATCCTTTACTGCATTTATGTATCCTCAGCTCTACCCAGCATAAGAAAATAACAATGGTAAGTATTACAGCACTGGCACACATAGATGTAGTCATCTGGAAAATTTCTAACTGGGGTAACGAATTTGGGGGAGGAAGGACCATGGGGCCATTCCAAGATATCTCGCTCTCTCTCTCTCCATTGCGATGATAGGCTTCCAGAACGTGCTTGGGCTAACAGTACTCTTCTCCTTCCTCCAGATGTACCGTTCACTATCACATTTGCCACAGCTTAGTGGTGTTCCTTGTGCTGGACAATAGTTCAGTGTCATTTATCCAGTGCGGTTGATTATGCTAAGAAATGCAGCATCCCCTCTGAAAGCGGGGCCCAGAGGGTGAGGTGAGGCTGTGGCCACTTTTCCGCTTGTCCTTGTGTTTGTCAGTTTCGATCTGCAGGGTGGTTGGTTTTTGTTCATGAGAGCAGAAGACTGGAAGTAGGTTGGGGGAGAAGAACCCTCGTACAGGCGGAGAAATACAGGCTGAAGGGTGTGGGTTGTATATAAACTCCTCAGTGTGGACATATTGCAGCGTCAGGGCTGTTTGAGGTGAGCTGTCAAGAAAGCTTTAGTCTATTAGCCTGCTGACGTTGGGAAGATTAGGTAGCTTGCTGAAATGTGGTGAAGAGCTTAGTTCCCAGAGTGCCCGACCCAGGACTACTCAACCACACACGGTAGGAAAGTGGTCCCCAGATTCCCACGGCCAACCATCCTGCTGCAGAGGGGCTGGGAGGCTGGAGTTAGGGAAAGGTGCTGTCCTGAGCTCATGGAGGGACCTAGCCAGAAAGCCAGACACTCCCATTTTAACGTCCCACAGGGCAGGTTCCCCCACCCCCCGTATTAATGCAGCTGTGTCTAGTTCTAGTCTACAGGGGCTTATTTTGTATTCTTCGAGGCCGCCTTCTGGGCCATCAACGGGATGTTTCCTATATAAACCCCTTTCCCAGGAAGGAGGCTGGAGCTCTCCTGGGTGCTGAAACTTCCCTAGGCCTCGAAAAGATTGTGCAATAAATAGCCTCACACATCCTCCCCCCACCCCATATTACAGACACAACTCGAACCAGCGCAGTTCCGACCCGCTGCATCAAACGGGGGGAGGGGGGAGAGGAAAGGCAGGACGTTCTGCAGATCCACACACTGGTTAGCTGCTCCTGCCCCAAAAGGGCCGGTGTCACCACAGCGTAGACAGTCCCAGCGCAGCCGATGCTGAATACGGGGCCCGGATAAATCTGGATTTGCTTCTTCCTATTGTCATTTTTATAATAATAATAATAATTAATGAGCAATAGCTAGGCACCCCCTAGGTCACATGCCCGCTGGGATAAACACGAAACCTCCTCCCGCCCCCCAGCCAGGGCATCCAGCCGCTCTCAGCTCTCGGGCTGCAGCAGGGAGCCCGGGGGGTTGTCTACAATGCTCAGCTGGGGTGGAAGGGCGGTGGCTGCATTGCCCTGCTGCACCCTGACCCTAATGAACTGCCCATGGCATGCAACACCTAGCACCCCCGGGCTCTCTGCACAGCATCGGAAAACAAGCTCCGCTTCCGTTCTGCAATGGCCTTGCCCGCTCCAGAAGAGGTTTATTTTATTTTATTTTTTTTTAAAGCAGAGCAGCCGGGTCACCAAGGGGAGTTCTCGTTTGTAAGGGGAGAACGGAAGGTTAATGGTTCCTCAGAGGAGCTGCCGGTATCTGGGCTTCGGGCGGAGGCTCCTGCCAAGGACAGCAGCGATCTTCCGATTGCCGCTGGCTTGTTACCGTGCAGTTTGGAAGCTGCTTTTCCTTCCAGGCAGCCCCCTCCCACCGCAGCGCAGTGGCTCCAGGCTGCAATTGACACACCCGGCGGAACCCTGTCTGCTGCCCCTGGTCCACCCCACCCCAAAGCTCCCCCCCGCGCCACTCCCAGAAGAGATCGACATCCCCCCTCCCCCAGTGTGATTTGCAAAGGAGGCTCTGAATCGTGCAGCTGGTGGTTAGCTATACAGGCTGTCTGAACGGGCGGAATCACTGACACTCCTGCGTCTGTCCGCGGGTGGGGCTGCTCGTGTCTTTTCTTCTCCGGCCACCATCAGGGGAGACAGAGAGAGAGAGAGAGAGAGAGCTCAGAGCCAGCCCCTGCCGCCCCGCTTCCCCCCCCCCCCACCACCTGGCAGGGATAGATGAGACCTGAGCCAAATCGGGGAAGCTTTTTCTCACCTCAGCGGCCTTTCAGGCAGCTTCCCCCCTTTCTATTTCTGAGCCAATACATGTTGCAGAATAGCAGGGCCCCTTATTGTGCTGTGAGGCATGTGAAGAAAAGCTGGCTCTCCCCAGAGGACAGGGGGAGGGGCACTGGGCCTTAGATTTCTTTGCCGAGAAACTGGCTCAAGAAATTACTTGACAATCAATGTCACCTCCAGCACTTGACAAGACAATTATTGCTGGGGAGTAAGTGATCAGACACACCATATATCATTTCGGATCCTAAGCCCTTTTATGGTGAGTGCAACATGAATTTTAGAGGAAAATGGGATTTTCCTAGCAAAGCCAAGCTTGTCCTTCTCTGTCAGGGGAAGTTTCTCTCATATGTGGGCCAAAGGATGTGGATTTCTAAGGCTGATGTTTGATGTTGCAGTATATGTGTGTGTTGTTAGAAACTATGCCCGCATCTTGATTTCTGAATGAACATTGTAATTATTTAATAATATAAAGCTCTAAGATAGAGAACATATCAGCTATTAAACTGATAAGAACAGATACTACGCTTGATCTTAGCCCCTTAATTACCTCCAAATGGCTGGCGAGGCATGGGCTGAAGGAGGAGCGCTGGTCCTGGTTCTTCTGTGACCTTGGCCAAGTCTTAGAACCTCTTTCTTCAGTTTCCCCAGCTGTCAGCTGCAATGATAATAATTGTGCCTCTGGGTAGTGTTGAGTGGATAAATATTTACACAGCACTTTGAAGAATATTGGTGCTAGAGAAGTGCTAAGAAATGGAAGGGATTTATATTAGGGCATCCTGTCCATTGTCCTGCCAGTGCTGGGTGATTCCCTATGGTATATGCTTCAGACTTTTGCTTCACCTAGTTTAAATAACTCCAAATCTGGGACTCCCACTACTTACTTTTGGAAGACTTTTATACAGTCTAATAGGCATCACTAGTTAGGCCTCATTTAGAACATCTTAAATTTACCTTTGGCCACTTCCATGCTCTTTGACAACCCCAACCAATAATTCTCTCTTCATGGCTTTTATATCTACCTGATCTCAGAAAATCATTATTAATTAATTATCACAGGTTTGTGTCCTTGACAGTTCCCTTTTCTCTCACCAACAAGGCTGTGTTCTTGCTCTGGCATTATTTAGCATCATGTTGCAGCTGTTCTAATCGATGCATTCAGAGACATTGACTGTGGCATTTATATGCAGTATTGTATGGATGAAGGTGTCTTGAGGCTGCATCGTCAGGATGTGATGACGAGAGTTATGAAGACAATTATTAGCAAATTACTGTTTGCTGATGATTGTGCTTTATTGGCCCATAACCTCAGGGACATTCACTGACTGCTTTGTGTGTGCAGCAAAACATTTTGGCTTAATGATCAGACTAAAGAAGACAGGAAGTACTGCAACTACTCCGGTTATGTCCATTGATAATAAACCACTCAAGATTGTTGACAAGTTTTGCTACCTAGACAGTGTCATTTCTCAAGATGCAATGATTGACAATGACAATATGAAGCGCATTGGTACAGCCAGCGATGCCTTTGGAAAACCTCAGTGTTGTCTCTGGAACAAGCAGGGTTTCAAATTGCAAACAAAAATTGATGTTTACTATGCTGTCGTCATCAACACACTGCTCTATATCAGAGGGGTAGCCGTGTTAGTCTGAATCTGTAAAAAGCAACAGAGGGTCCTGTGGCACCTTTAAGACTAACAGAAGTATTGGGAGCATAAGCTTTCGTGGGTAAGAACCTCACTTC